TTTCTGAAGTATAAATCAAGAGGCAGCGCCCAGCCATTCATTCATTCCTGCGTGAGCCATGCGGAAGCGCTGCCACAGCGACTTGTGCAAGGATGTCTGCAGATGAGCCCGGAGGACGCAGTGGGCAAGAGAAGAGGAGTTAGCATAGCGATAGGTTAGAGGCAGCCATAGCTGCCATAGCTATAGTTAGTAGTGAGTGTGTGTGTGTGCTCGAGTGTTAGAGTGATGCGTGTGGGATATCCAGGGTGATCCAGTGTATGTGAACAGTGAGATGTTTGTGCGCTGAGGTCGCCATAGCCAATTGGGAGTGAACTCGTATCTGAAAACCATATCTCTGAGTTTTGAGTGGGCGGATGTCACCAGTGTGCTGCGTTACTGTTTACATGTGTGAAAAGTGTGTTTGAAAACGAGTCTGATTGCAGTGGTGGCTAGGTAGCCCGCGTGGGAGAGGATGCAATTCTTATGGTAGGCAGCGGCTAGCCCAAATGAGATAGTTGTATGGAAGAGCTAGCTGTAGGATGTAACTCTTGCGGACGCAGGCTACACCTGCAGAGCCGATCTTTCAAGGCCATTGTTGGGAGAATGTATGGTGTTCTGCTGGTTTCGCATGAGGGTTTTGCAACCTTGGGCATGCCCCCAAGCCATGCTAAGCACGGTCATGCTCTCAGACTATCGATCTGTTGGTCGATCAATGCTTCCCGGCTTTCAGTTGCCGCGACTTGTGATGAGTCCTATGCCCTACTGAGAATATCCTCGAAGATAGAGCTTGGCGAAGTCGAAAGGAGTACCTTTCCTTGGCCACAGTATCTTTCTGAGTAGACGAACCAAGTCGCACTCTTGAACACTAGGTCTACCTGGAGTATGGGTGCTTTGCGCCTATCGAGGATCGAAAGCCATGAGCACAGTTCTTGAATTCCACCTGATTGTTAGCTTAGTTCCTATCCTTGTCTGCGTCATTGGCGTCCCCCCCTTCCTCCTTCCTCCCCCCACCGGGGCCAAGACATAGAGGCCACAGAAGTACACAACCCCTCGGCCTGGGCTTTTGGCATGCTGGCATGCTGTGGAATAGAGGCGGCATTTACATTGCACATGTTGAATGATTTGATAGGCATTAGATCGATGTGACAGAGTCCATGCATCCTATGATGAACATAACAATATCTCTGTGTTTTCTTATATCTTCGCTGAGGATTCCAGACCTTTATGTCCGTGCCTTCTGTTGTGTCACTATCTCTGAACTGAACTGTCACAAGATTTACGTCGAAATTTCGGCAAGACCATCACCACTTGACATTTGACGCGATGCATGCCATTTAAAATGGATCATTGGTGCGAGACTCTGGCACCGCGCTCTCACCATGTTTGAGCTCAAAGAGCATGAACTGACCATTCCAACGGCCAGATTTCTGCTTTGGGGCCCATGCCTCAGTTCAATTTTTAAATATACAAGTGGACCCGCCACGGCTAATCTGCCGTGCATCACAGGGGATGAGTACGAGGGGGCGGCAAAGGGCAGGAGGGGAGCGCATAGGAAAATGGAGAACAGGCAAAAAGATTCCCTATCTTTTCATAACAGCGGACCTGAGAAAGCACACATTCATACATCTCTCTCTCTCTCTCTCTCTCTCTCTCTCTCTCTCTCTCTCTCTCTCTCTCTCTCTCTCTCTCTCTCTCTCTCTCTCTCTCTCNTCTCTCTCTCTCTCTCTCTCTCTCTCTCTCTCTCTCTCTCTCCTCCTCTTCTTCATCTTCTTTGGAAATGCTGCTCCAGCTCTTGCTCTTCTTCCTCCTCTTCGTGCGCTTCCTCCTTTTCCTTCTCTTTCGTCTCTTCTGCGCGTTGCCGAGTGTTGTACATTCGGGTTTGGAATGCAAAGTTTGAGAAGCATGTACTGAAAGCAGTTCAGCCGCTGATTGTCACTATTCTTCTTCTTCCTCATCTTCGTCTTCTTCGTATTCTTCCTCTTCCTCCTCCTCTTCTTCCTCTTTTTCTTTTTCTCAAATCAGTTAATCCGTGCGTGTTTGAGCTTTGCTATGTCCGTGTGGGTGATTTGTTGACGACACCTTTGTTATACAAAGATAGTTAGTGATTGACCTCAGGGCGGGATTGGGATTGCTGCAGTCTACCTTCTCCTCGAAGCAATCTGTTTTCGCAATTTGCTACCCGCCGAAGTCTTTCTGCACCGTCTTCCTCCTCCTAGAGCGTGACGGGAAAATGGCTCCCCCTCGTCGCGCCCGATTGTTTTCACATCAATCGAAGAAAAACGCAGAGAGAGAGAGAGAGAGAGAGAGAGAGAGAGAGAGAGAGAAGGGGGGAGAGAGAGAGAGAGGGGGGAGGGGGGAGAGAGAGAGGCGTGAGCCTGGTGGGCAGACAGCCTCCCCCTTGGTTGTCTGATTGGTTTTGCATTGATTGAAGAAAAATGAGGAGACCGAGAGAGAGAGAGAGAGAGAGAGAGGAGGCGTGAGCGTGGTGGGCACACGGCTCCCCCTTTGCCTCTGATTATTTTTGCATCGATTGAAGAAAAATGCAGAGACCGAGAGAGAGAGAGAGAGTGAGCGGGGGGAACAGAGAGAGGCATGAGAGAGAGAGAGAGAGAGAGAGAGAGAGAGAGAGAGAGAGAGAGAGAGAGTGCAATTGCACACCAGCTGCCTATGGACTTGTATTCAAACATGCCGGGTCCGCTACACACATGGTCCAAGCAGCGCCCCTTGCGGTCTGAACGGCCACCCCTAAGACCAAAAAGGAAATAAAACAACAAATGGAAGATTTTGCCCGGCCCTTTCTCACTTGCCACCTATGAACTTGAATTTAAACATGCACGACCCTCTACACACACGACCCAAACAGCACCCTGTGCAGTTCGAACGGGCACCCCTTAGACGAAAAACCAAAAAAAAACAATGAATGAAAAGGTTTCACGCACCGCTGGGCCCAGGCCCTCCAGCTCCCCCCGCTACAGTTTTCCCAACACTGGTAGCCAGGCCTTGTGGGATCGCTACGCAAGACCTTTAAGTCTTTTAAATAGTATATAGATGAAGCTGGACCTTGGTAAAAGACGTGGTTCACTGCTCAGCATCCAGGTTATGTATGAACTATGAATGCATGCATGGCGCCTTGGATAGAACACAGACAGCACCTTCTTTGATGTCATGTGTGTGCCTAGATTCTGGTTTGTGGATTGTACAAAGAAGTCGGTTGAGCATAGTGAAAGCGATTAATTTGAAATTGAAATTAAATGTATTAACTACTATTAAGGACATGTACGAAATTACTATGTACCTACCGTCTTCCCCCGAACACAACGCACCCTCATTTTGGAAGTATCTGGCCGGAAATATAGCTTGTATACATTCATTTTTAGGGTGCGTTATGTTCGGGGGAAGACGGTAGGCTTTGTAAACAACGGAACCCAAATTCTAACACAGAGGTGTTCCTCAGCAGGCCTGACGTACGGTCACAAGCCTGCTGCTTTAGAGAAAACAAAAAGGGGCAACATTGTCGCGACACCTTTTACATATCATCGTCAAACATATCAGCCCCAGAAATATGATTTGATGTTGTTCATCTAGTTCCATCTGGATTTGATCTCAGGTTTGCATTTCAAAAGGTCATGGGTGTACGGACGAACTGAGCTAGGACCGTTGGTGCAAGCCTGCAGCCGCTTTTATTTTGCTTTGTGATGTAAGTTCATGTAACACTTGTTGCACTACTAACACTGAATGATAACTTGATGGAACAAGCAATGCTCATTTGTCGGAACAAGCAATGATAATTTGAAAGAATCAAAGGTTGGAAATGGTATCTGCCATGTGTCTGAATTATAGAGGGCTGGTACTCTTCATGGATTTCACAAGATTAGGCCTATAGCCCTGATGAATTCCCTGTGATTTCCTTCCTTCGTCTGGTTCGTTCGCGGAAATGCAGAGATTGCTCGGCGCTTGCCAGCTGTCTGAGCCCTTGAGCTCAAGGTGATGTTGATGTCAACTGGACGTGACATGTAAACGTCAGCATAGCCGAACGGAGCGGATGGCATCGAGGCTCGTGAAAATCTGTGGAAGAGGGAACCTGGTATAGGTGACGAGTGGCTTTATGTGTACCTGGTTCAGCAGGCTTCAGTCTTCTGGTGTACACCGGCTCACAGATGTACGGTCAGACATTGGCCGTGGTGAACTCGAGTCTTGCTTGTATTCATAAAGAGTGATGCATTTGAGTTGCGTTGGTACTTAGAGTTAACCGCGTGTGCTTTGGAGTTGCGTTGAATGCGCTGGCGGCGGAAGTGATACAGTCTGAGTGTGCTGTTCACATGTACAGTGGCAGGAAGTGGGACTATCTGATCGGGCAGGCGCGATGGTAGTTGGCTACCTTACAGGAGATGGAGCATTGTTGCTGCATGAGGGGAGAGGAGCGTGCCATTGTGGTTCGACGTACGAAAACGCGTTTATTTTGAAGTGGAAGCAGAATCACACAGGAAGAGCATGGGAGGCGGCTAGAGATGCCAGGAAGGAATGGCAGGTGAGGAGAGAACGTTGCAGAGTATGTGTTGTTTGTATCTTTACACAGGCTGACTGGCTTCTTTCAGAAGTAAGTCAAGGTTGGCTATCCGTCGTCCCCATGTTTATTTTCCCTTATTCCTCCTCCTTGGCACATGCGCGAACCTCGTGAACCTGCGGCAATCTGCGTCTGGAGTTGCAATGTACATGGTGAACTGTTTGGCAGCGAACGGTGGCGCTTGGGTACCACAGGTAAGACATATGTTCAGGATGGAGGCATTGTTTGGAGGTGTTATATTATGCTTCAGGTGTCATGTGTGTGAGATCGAGCAGTCTTCGTCAATTTTCTTCACAATTGGAAACTCTTCATGGTGTTCACGGTTACGATCTGGTCAATCGCGAGGAGCTTCATGGTTACAATCTGGTGGAAGGGATGGGTGTGACTGAGTGAGTAAGAGTGACTTTCAGGTATTTCTTCTCGCTGCTGTAGAGGGAGGGTGAGAGGGAGGGTGAGAGGGAGGGTGAGAGGGAGGGTGAGAGGGAGGGTGAGAGGGAGGGTGAGAGTGAAGGTGAGAGGGAGGATAAAAGAGGACAGAGGGAAGAGGGGAGGGTGGTGGGCGAACAAGAGGGGAAGAGGCCATTATACATACCCTAACCCAGCTCATGTTGATGCTAGGAGGAGTAGAATGGTTGCTTGCTCACAAAATCTCATTTGTCATTCATGTCCATTTGCTGTTTTTGCTGGTTTTTCATGTTTGCTATAGTACATGTAGCAAACGCCGTCGATGCTCTAGATCAAATGCCAATGTGAAGGGGACACACACATTCCCAGATTGGTGTATGATTTCCTTGTGAGTCGTGCACTTGGGGTTGGGTAGAGAGAAGGCATAATAGGCAAGTGGAGGATGCAGCAACCGGCAGGAGTCTGGAGTTGGCAGAACTGTTGGGGGCCTGGGAGAGAGTGAAACTATGGGGGGCTGGCCCGAAGGAGACTCTTAGCTGCAGCGGCGACTTTTGGCGAACTTGACACGGAGGTTTCTCTGACTTTCTCGGCTGCTCTGCAGATTTATGTGCTGGAATTTCCCCTGGAGCATTGAAAAGTTGAAAACTGCATGCGGCAACCAGTTCTTCAACTCGCTACGTTGGAACAATCTATGTATGATTCTTTGGGCTGTGGATGGATGGGGTCCTGCGGGAGAATGCAACAGTGGGAGGCTGGCGTGGCCCAAAAGGGACTCTTAGCTGCAGCAGTGACTTGGCGAACGTGGGACACACAGGTTTCTGGGTTGGTCTGCAGATTTTTGTGCCGGAATGGCCTCGGAGCACTGAAAGCTGCATGTTTCGACATGTTGTGTTCCAACTAGCTAAGGCGGAGCAATCTATCTATGATTCCTTGGGCAAATTTGATGGAGTGGGACTATCTGGCTCTAGTCCCTTGGGACAGCGAGGGATGAGCAAGATAGTTCTCTGGGAGGGATGGGCAAGGCAGGTGTTCCGGGCAAGAGGACAGCAGAGAAGCTCCCCACATCTTACGAGTTTGACTTGCTCTCAGAATGCTTGAGGGAATCATATGGGCTTTTACCATGTGATTGCTGCAGCATCTTTCAACAAGTTGCCATGGGTACACGGTTGTCATATGATGATGATGATGTGCGTGTGTGCTCGAGAACAGTCGAAGGGGCTGACGTCAGTCCGATCGTGTTCCTGCTCGCGTCCATAGAGATGAGATGAGCGGCATTCATATGGTCGACAGTGTCATCGTTCACGATCCGCAAACATCCAGATTTCACTTGCTCATATGATGAGTTCACACTCGCGCGACGGTCGACAGCGTCATCGTTCACGATTCGTATGAGTTCACCCATTCACACATGTACGTGTGTACGTGTGTGCTTGCCATTCATTGGCTTTGCTGCACACTGCCAATGGCGAAGGTCTTCTGCGGGCAAAGCTCAGTCGTAACATTTCCAAGGATGGTGGTCAAGTCAATCTCTGAAGTTGTACCTGCCTGCTTTCATCTGCCCATGCAAGGAGTTCAGGTATCCATATGTGCGGCCGCCAGTGTAGGTGTCCTTTCATCTGCCCATGCAAGGAGTTCAGGTATCCATATGTGTGGCCGCCAGTGTAGGTGTCCTTTCAAAGGCTTACCGCGGAGAGACAGTCGTTCCCCGGCAGTCGTGCAAGCACACGCTTTGAGAGGCCCTGGCTTGTGAGGGACACCTACAGCGAAACTGACCTGGCGTTTAAGTGTAAGGGAATGCACAAAATCCCCGGAACGATGTAGGGGCAACCCATGAAAGCACATGCTTTGAGAGGTGGAGGAGCAAATATGTCTGTTCGCTTGCTTAGCTGGCGACGATTTCCATCCCGGTACGGTTGTTGCATTGACGATCCTTGACCAAGAACATGTGCAAGGACTGTAGATAGATGTCCATGTGGTCTGCAACTTTGGCGCCAACAGTCCAGCGCCTGTTATTCCGGCTGCTTTGCGCCTTTAACCAGCTCATTATGGTTCCAGATACCACAATCTATGAATGCTCTGCGGTCCTGTTCCAAGTTGAAGATAACATTTACAACGCATCTCCTCATTCAGTCTGCCAGACTTTGACAGTGAGGAAAGCAGTGATCCAGGGAGCGCATAACCCCTGGCACCTATGCCTCTGGACCTCCGCGAGTTGTGCAGTGTAAAGAGTGGAGAGTGATTTTGCAGTGTGGCTCAAGCCTTTGAGGCTTGCCCAGCATCGGCAGTGTGGTTTCCTTTGGACGAAGACTTGGTCCATCGACCAGACACATTTCTCCCGAGCAAGGATGGGCCCAAAACAGAATTCTTTGGATGTAGACATGTGCATTTCTGTGGCCTCCCAGGGGATTGCAGGGCTGAGGAATCAAGGTTGTGGCATAGCTGTTGTGTGTAAAGTGTGGCTACAGTAAGGTGCAGACCTGTGGTATGTGTCCGTCAAGGCAGGATTTGAACCTGCGACCGTTAGGTGGCTCCAAAATCCAAGGATTGTCATCAGACCAAAGTTGGGTTGGACCAGGTGATTGACACAGTCAGATTGCCCTGCAAAGACCTGGACACAGTCCAGTGGCATATGTCCCAGATGCTGCAGCTTTATTCAGGTCCTCAGGAGACAGAGTGGACCTTGTGAATACCTGCAAGACTCAGTGCTGGACATTGGGGCAGGCTTGTGCATCTTTGCCTGGATGAAGGGTGATACTCGTTTGGGCAGCACGGTCTTGGCACAATGCAGAGATGGGTGGTGCTCTCTCTCTCTCTCTCTCGCTCGCTCGCTCGCTCGCTCTCTCACTAAGGTCGGACTCTTCAGCGTTTTGCCAACCCAGGAGTGATGGTTTATTCATACCAATAACAGTTTCAGTAAACTGTTGCAGTTCCCAAGTTGCAGTTCAGGAAAAACAAGCAAGTGGTGGTGCTCTCTCTCTCTCTCTCTCTCTCTCTCTCTCTCTCTCTCTCTCTCTCTCTCTCTCTCTCTCTCTCTCTCTCTCTCTNTGTGTGTGTGTGTGTGTGTGTGTGTGTGTGTGTGTGTGTGTGTGTGTGTGTGTGTGTGTGTGCGCGACGGAAAGGAAGGTGACACCGGCATCGCAGGGATCGAGAAGTCCGAATCGAGGGGGTTGTCAAGAGAGGGGATAGCAGTGCCCCATTAAAGGTCTTTGGTGCATGTGTTAATAAGGCAATGAAGATGCCTTTCTTCCTTCGAGGTCCTTGGAGTGCTGAAGTGGAAAGAAGGTGCTGTCCTTCCTTGATTTCTTTGGGGTGCTGAACTGGAATTGTAAGGTGAGTTGCTGTACTTTGCGACTGTGGTTCTTTTTTTTCCCCTTGTAGCCATTCATGACATCGGTGCCCGGGGGTGCTTCTCTCAGGTAAACGCAATAGGGTTTGAACCTTGGTATGCAATCATGAAGCTAACAGCTTCACGTATGCTTCCGTCCTGTCTGACTGAACGAGTCTCGTCGACATCTTGATGTCCCGCACATGAAAATATCTCTTCAACATTACTATTTCAAGAATTTGCAACCTTCTTAAAGTTCTTATTCTGTGGGTTAACATACCTGACACGTTGTCCATTCTCGCGCTGGGTCAGACAGGACACAACTGTGGCCGCCGGGTCATAAGCGAGCGTTGTGTGTGGTTAGGTGTGCATTGGAAGTGTGTTTCTCCTTCTCTCTCACTTTTTGTTTGTGTTGTCCTCCATGCGCGGGTGTTTATGAAAACAATATTTTCCTGATTTTGCCTGTGCCATCTTTGACACGTCACTAAATGGTGTCTTCATATTCGGATCATGTTGAACCGTCTCTGTTTGGCGTTTTGCTAAACGAGATGCAATAAATAAGGATTGTCGGAATCACTTTCTCGAGTGGAGTGCTTTGTCATAGAGTGCTTTATCGTCGCCGTTGCCAGCAGGTACGTACATGCATGCATGCATGTATTTGGCTTGACACTCTGTTTGGCTTCTTCCCAAAGAAAATCCCAAAGAATAGATGTGGTCAGGATGATTTCATTTCATTGATTGCAGTGCCTTTTAATCAGTGCTGCTGGCAGCTGCATGCATACATACATACATATGTACATGAGTTATTAAAATCCGTATTGATAGTAGATGGACTACGATGACTCTTATGGGTGGCTTTGCAATGATAGACAGTACATGAATATGTACATCTTACATGCATATGTACATAAATATGCACATCATACATGCATACAGACATAAAATAATCCATAACATTCACGCATACTTTGTGATGAGTCGGTGAAAGTCCAATGAAACAGTCTGGCACATAGCGAACATGACAAAACAGACATACATACGCACATAGACACAAATTCATGCATGCATACATACGCACATAGACACAAATTCATGCATGCATAAATGCATACATACGTACATAGTCTGCTGGACTCTGGCACATATATGCATGCATGCATGCATACACAAATGGGTACGCACACGTGCACATAACACGCATACATAATTGATTGGGTATTACCAAACTTTCATCGTCTTCGTCTGTTGAGCACAGGCTGACTTTGATCGTCTTCGTCTGTTGAGCACAGGCTGGTGGGTATCAGTTCTTGCCGGCCCCCTTCGTTATATATCCAAGTGAGTGCCTTTGAGAGCACGCCACATAAACGCGGCCAACCTTGAGGATGATGTTTGGTGATTGCTTACACGAGACGCACACTCGCACACACGCAAACGCTCCGGCGCCAGACTGGTGTGTGGGCGCTCGGTGCTTAACCACACAAACGTAGCTGACCTTTCATATTCTATTATATTGCCCATCTATACCCTCCTTGTTTTATGGATGGTTTGTGGATGATTTGTAGATGGAATGAGGAAAGAGTTTGGGGTTCTTTGACAAAGACACTCACACACACTCCTGACGAGTCGGTGAAAGCTCGACGAAAAGCACAGTCATGCATTTTTTGTGGAGCTGTGTATGGCGAACATGACAACACAAAAACACACATGCACGCACATGTGAATGCGCACACTCGTGTGCATGCTCACAGACAAACTATTACAAACACACATACACACATGCATATACATGCATACACATACATACATACAAGGCGGTGAAAGTCAGACGAAACAGTGTGGCACTGGCGTGCTTTCTTTGGGGAGTTGTATGTGGCGAACATGACAACACAGGTATACGTACATACATACACACATACTTCCATACACATAGATACATACTGTGTGACATATGTGAAATACTCATACGTGTAAATACATGCATACATGCATGTGTACATAGTACATGCATACGTACATGCATACATCCATACTTACATCCATACATACATGCATACATACATCATACATGCATACATCCATACACACACTCACAAAACCTCCTGTAGAGTCGGTGAAAATCCTACGAAACGGTCTTCCACAGTCGTGCTCGAACATAACAACACACATAAAACCATACATACATAGTATTACATACACACATACATACATGCACACACAGACGTGCATACATACACATACATTGTGTTTCCATACGAAAGTGGATGATGTTGTTCAGATCCAGTTTCACAGGGTCAGGAGTTCAGGGCTATATTTTTATTACTTTCTTCTTGCACATCATTGTATGCAAGTGAGCATGTTCACACACAAAGAAGGTGAGTTATTCTTGATGAAGGTCACACAGCTCGTGTTCATTCCTCTCTTTGTAGTTACTTTAGTGTTGTCATAAGGGCAGATGCTGACATCTCTTGCATGTGCTCAGTATCCTGTGCTCCCAGGAGACTGTTTGTGGCACTGCTTTTCTTACGGTTTCATATGTTTCACGTGTGTACTCAGCCTGCACTCACTCACTCACTCACTGGCACATGCACGCACACACACAAACTCCGGGTGAGTCAGCACCCACTCGGTCATCCACTCACACATGCATGCACACACACAACCTGCTGACGAGTCCATGCAGTCTGGCGAAACAGTCTAGCACAGTCTTTTTCTGTCGAGTTGTGTATAGCCAACATGACAACACACACAACAAATAAAACACACACACGCACCCCCACCTCCACACACGCCACACACACACACACACGCACAGGCGTACACACACGCACATGTGAGCACACACGTGCACATGCATACACACAAACAGACAGAGAGAGGGAGAGAGACGCAATGCACGAGCACACGGAACTGGTCATCCACTCACACACAGCACACAGATGCACATGCATGCACAAACATGGCACAGGCAGACCATGAACACACAGTATGTTCACATGCTGGACACTGCTCAGGTGCCCAAACATGGGGCAACATACGTTGACAAAACGTCAGCCCTTGCTTTGTAGTTTTTATTTGGAAGGTCGTATGCACCAACACGACGCACGGGAGAAGCACCATTGAGTGGCTGCAGCCATGGTTCTGTCCAGGTTGAACTCGGTAGGAGCTGTGCCAGCTTTGCAGATGAGGATCACCAAGTGGCGTGTTCACTTCCCTCTCCCCTTCCGATCTGCAAGCAGTCTTGTTGGCCGGAAGACACATGAACATGGAGTTTGGGCGTACTCTTAAACCGTCCGTTCTCTTCCCGGTAGTTGAATACCACCTGCCAAAGAACAACTTTCTCTGCCGGAGCAGCTTGTTTAAGTGGACTACCTTCTCTCTCTCTCTCTCTCTCTCTCTCTCTCTCTCTCTCTCTCTCTCT